GATGGTGCCTCAAACCAACATATGGTGGTTTGAAGATGTTCCCAAAGTGAGAACTGAGGGAACACAACTGTCCTTAAGAGCTGCTACTAACCAACATGGTGGTTTAGTGGGGTTCCCAAAGCGAGAAATGGGGGAACACAGTTCTTCTTGACATTTGCCCCAAACCAACATGTCGTGGTTTGAAGATGTTCCCAAAGCGAGAAATGGGAGAACATCCCTGTTCTTAAGGACTGCTACTAACCAACATGGTGGTTTGGTGGTATTCCCAACCTGAGAAGTGAGGGGAACACAAGTGATCTTGACAGTGCCTCAAACCAACATATGATGGTTTGAACATGTTGCTCAAGCGAGAAATGGGAGGACATAACCTGTTTTTAACCAGATATGGTAATGACCAACATGGAGGCTTGGTTAGTATTCCTACAGCGAGAAATAGGGGGATGCCATCGATCTTGAGCCCAAACAACATTGGAGATGTTCCTCAAGGGACAAACGAGAGGAAAAAGCTGTTCTTAAGGACTCCCTCTAACCAACATGGCAGCCTAGAATGATGTGCCTAAAGCGAGAAATGGAGGAACACAAAATATTCTCAGACAGCTGCCCCAAACCCACAAGTAACAATATGGAGAGAAGTACAAAATAGAGTATATTTCCACAATAAGCAGTAGAGTAGGTTTGCATTCTTAAAGAATGCTCAAAATTAACCCGTTCTGGTTTCTAAACTCCCCCTCAAAAAGCAAAAACTGGGAGAACATAAATATTCTTGCGGGCTGCCCCGAAATAGCATATGCCTTTGAAATTTTTTTTCCCCTCCCTAAAGTATTCCATGCAGCTGCTCCTAAGCAACCCGGTGTGATTGGCAGCTGGCGGCCTAATTCTGATCACCCCTTTCTAGAGAAATCCCAGCCACATATTACAATGTGGGATGCGTTGAAACAGAAACCGGCGATCCATTTCAGGCTGAGAAAAATGAGGCCTCAAATATTTTGCAAAAAATAATAAATAAATAAAATCCTTTGATATTTTACCTCTTGGATGGATTCACTCATTCATATATTTCCCCCCCACCCCCTGGAAATAAAAAGTCCAGGTTGATCTGGAACAGACAAGCTTTGGAATACTTTATGGTGGCTTTTTAACTTTTTGTTCCGTAGGACGTCTCCAAGGAATAGTTCCCTTAAAATGGAAAGCTTCACGGCTCCTGATTAAATTCTCGCAGGGAGCTTTCTGTGGGGTGCCCAAACGGGCCCCTCTTGCAGACTAGAATAGAGTGTCCTTGTCAGAAGTGTTGAATTTATCTATGCATGGTTGTAACCTAGTTATTCTTCAGATGTAACGGATAGTGCCTGGTAGGAATAACGTAGCTAGGAATTGTTTTAAGAAGGAGCAACGTGGCCGTAGGGTTGTCCTAGGGTTTTCGTGGGATTCTCACCATTTCCCCGAGGAATTGTCGTGCAGGCTTTATGCACTGCAATTCCATAGTTATCCCAGCTGAGTCACCTCTCCCAACTGGGACACATCCAGAAAGGTGAAATTATTCAACTTATGAGATGGTGATCCTCAAACCACCTTTGTCTTCTCCAGAACTTCCTTGGGAGAACTGGTGGAGAATTTTTGCCCATCCGGCCACGTTTATGGGAGGCTCTTTTTTTGCTTAGCATAGTTTGTCTTAATGATCCGCGAAGACATATATATATATATATATATATATATATATATATATATAACCTTGTTGCTACCCAGCATCTCGAAGCGGAGACAAAGGCAGCTTATAACCTGGTTTGCCTCTGCTTCGGCGTTGATAAGGAGAGTAGGTTTGAAGTGCAATTGTTATGAATAAAATAGGTTTTCGACGTGAAAAGCTCTGCTGAACTCTGAAACACACAGATCCAACATAGAAAAATATATATATGTTTTTCCAAGCTTGGGGACTTGGAAGATGGGTGGACTTCAACTCCTAGAATACCCCAGCCAGCTTTAAGATGGGTAGACTTCAACTCCTAGCTTTGCTGGCTGGGGGGATTCTGGGAGTTCAAGTCCACCCATCTTCCGAGTCCCCAAACTTGAAAGACATTGCTCCAAGAATTGCATAACCAGCACAGTCTTTCACCCACACAAACCATGTGGGCCTGAAGCCAACAGAACCAGCGTCCACCACGTGTCCAACTGCTCCAAAATTCCCACCAGTGGTTGGGTTTCAAATTGTTTTATCACGGGTTTGGTGGGCGTGGCTTGGTGGGCACGCTTTGCCTCATGTGTACGGGCGCAGCTTTCCCCGCACCAGCTGAGACTTGTAGCGCCAATCAGCTGAGAGGATAAAGAAGAGGAAAGCACGCCTGGGTGGGAAGGCCAATCCCGCAAACTTTTCTCTTTCTCCTCCCGGCTGATTATTCAGACTGTTTCCCCTCCATCAGCGGATCCTCGGAGGCTCTTTTTTTTACTACCAGTTTGACCGAACCGGTCCAAACCATTAGCATACTACTACTACTGATTACTCATTAGCAGTCTGCGCACGGTACTTTTCAGAACGACTATCATCCCGTGGGTCACCCGTTTCCCATGGCACAGGAAACTTCTTGCTCGTTGGACTGGACGTAGTGTCTGTCACCAACGGCGCCCTGGTCACATCTGGCAAGTCAAGAGCTATAGGGAATGCTTGTAACTAGCATCAAACATCATCACCGCAAAGACCTAACTATGCTGGTGTTCCTTGGCTATTCTTAAGCTCAACCACCGATGCTCTTTTAATGCCCCAAATAAGTTGAGCATCTAGTGGTCCAATCCCAACACAGAACAGGGTGTTTTTTTTCCCCATGCGCGACTCCGGGGAGTCCCACCGGCCATCCTTTCTGTTGTGGGCCATTTCCGTTTGCGCGTTGCGTTAAGTTCGTGCAAAAAGCCAGGCCGGCTTTTGCGCAGCCGAGTCAGCCGTTTAGCAGAAGCTGGAAGCGAAGACACGGTAGAGGAGGATGTATTTTGTACTGCATGCAAAATAGAAGAATTTTTTTAAAAAATAAATAAATAAATAATCACCGTATTTTTCGATTCAAGACCTTCCACCATCTCGGCACTACATGAATAATTCTCTCTTTTTGGAGTAGGGATCGATTTTATTTTGCAATGTTTTTGTTCCATTACCTCAACTCGGTTGATCTTGAACTGTGATTTACGATTTTTGTTTTTTTCCTAAACCGGGTAAGGTAGGGCGAGGGGGAATTAAATCGCCCAAATAATTTCTAAAACTGTGATGATGAGGGTCCTGTCTGAAGACATACCAGTGCCTTGTTTGCGGCGCCATCAATAAACGCCGATGATCCAGACACCTGGATGACGTCACGGCCCTTAAATTCTCATGCCCTCTTTTGAAGGGAAGAAAAAAAAAAAACCATTTGGTGGAAGGACTCTGAACTTAGCAAAGCATATTTAGCGCAGATATTTAGTTAGGCTCTGTTTGTTGTTTTTTTAAAGAATGAAATCTCCAAGCTCTTTGAGGACTGAAATCAATAATAAATGGAGAAATACTTGATCCTGTTGGGCATTTGAAGACAATTGAGGTGGGGGGTTTTGTTTTCCCCATTAGGAATTACTTCAACAGACCAACAGCATTTTTATTAAAGGGGGGAAACTAATTTTCTTTATTTTATTATATATAAATATATAGAGAGAAATATATATTTTAAGGGGAAGGGGAATGGCAGGGCTAATAGACATTTAATCAGGGAGGGGTGGCAAAGAAAATTAGCCTGCTGTAAACACACACACACACAAACACACAAACACACACACACTGAAAAAGGGGCCCCTCTGGAGCCACCAACACTCCCCATCCAAAGTGCTATTAACAGGCTTTCTCGGGTTACCGCAGCTCCCCGAGAGTTTTGGCTCCTTTCCGTTTTGGCGGAAGGGCCGGCATTGAGTCCTCAAGGAGTTTCCGTGCTTGCTGACTTCCCACGTAGCCGTTTGTGTGGTTTTTGTTTTCCCCTTATAGACACGAGGATGAATGCGGTCAGAAGTCGCTGAAGTTATATAACGGGTGGGTGGGTGGGTGGGCAGATTGCAAACTTGAGAGGGCGGCACGCTTACAGCCCCACCCCCCCAGCTTTGCTGCTGGAATAAAAACGGGGAAACATCTGGAGATGGTCGGGCTCGGGCTCGGGCCACCTCTGCCGTTCCTTCCGGCAGACGGGTGAACTTTCCACTGGACGCGACGGCCCCGATGCTGGCAGGCCCCTTCTTGTTTTGGGTGACACCGGGGCACCTCATCAAACATGGTGCCCTCACTCCCCAGTGGTGGGATTCAACTATTATTTTATCACCGGTTCGGTACCAGGAAATAAAAGTCAGAATAGAGCCAGGGTAAGGGTAGGGCCCAGTAGCTGATCGTCGGAGCAAACTGGTCCGCTCGCAGATGATCCTCGGAG